ATCATGACAAGAGCAGTATTAGAGAAAGTGACAATGAGGGAGGTCTAAAATCTGAGAGGAAGAAGAGAGAGTGACACAGCCACTATCTACAAGCCAGGAAATAGGTCCTAACTAGGAAGGAAATCTATTGGTGCCAATGACGGTAACCAAGAAGAGCAGTGGGTGGTATAATCCAACAACCTAAGATTCAAAGATAGGGAGAGGGATGGTATTAGTGTGGAGGGAGAATGGTCATGGGAATGATGGTATTTCCCAGTAGTCTTGGGAAATAAACAGCAAGGAAAGGCACCTATCTCACCTTCCAGTTCAAGAATATGAGGAGCATAAGAGAGAAAATAGCCATTACCTCAGAGGGTGGCAGGGAAAGCTCTGTTCTCAGGAAAGTGTCAGGTTTCATGTAGAGCAAGAAATTAAGGAAACATTCAAAGAAGAGATTTAGGTTGGAGAGAATTTTGTTGATGACTGAACAAGAATTCTAAAGGCAGAGGGCATAGTAGCAAAGTTTAAGTTGAGGAAAGGTAGACAAAAAAAGTCACAAAGGGGAATTATGTAAGCTAGTCTCCAGGGATTCCCCAACAAGTCCTGCCCTTCTAATGTGCTCATCAGGAAGTAGAGAACCTATTTCCTCTCCCCTTGAATCAATGCAGTCTCTTGACCAATAGAGTACTTCTTTCCGTGTAATACTTCCTTTTGAGACTCAGCTACCATGCTGTTAGTGATCCAAGCCATATGGAGAGGCCACGTGGAGGAGAACCAAAAAAATTTGACCAACTGACTACAGGAGCTTTCCACCAGAAGCCTGCATCAACTGCTAGTCATATGTGTAAACCATCTTGGACATTCTAGTACAATTAAGCACTCAGATGATAGCTGGTCCAGCTGACATCATGAGCAAAAGAACCATCCAGCTTAACCCATTCAACCCATTGCATTATGAGAGAGAAAGTGCTTGGTGTTTTAAGTCATTGTGGTTTTGAGTGGTTTGGGTACAGATGACTAAAATGGATGCACAAAATCATCTGGGAACTAGAGTAAGTACATGAGGGATGACCAAGGAGCCTTGAATTTCTTTTATGACTGACATCATCAAAGATAAAGGCTTAATAAGGTAACCTTTTTTTTCCTGAGCAATTGGAAGAATGAAATTGCCTTGAGAAGTGTGCCTTCTCTCTATAGTCTTTGCACTGAGTCACATTATGACTTTTTTTCTGCTTCAGGACACATTCTCTGCCACTGAGACAAGCACATAAGCAAGATACAGAGCTCCAACACCAGATCTGAAGGTGAGGACTCTAGATGAATTGTGATTTCAGGCAGAATCTTAAAAAATATTTCTATTTTAGAGATGCCTGAATGTAAAAACCATCACTCAGACACTTGGGAGTTAAGACTCTGCTTCACCCTTCCTGTTTGCTTTCTCCCTCTTGAAGGACACCCTCTGAGTGGCTTTCAGGTTAATGTGAAAGAAGCTTAAAGATGCAAATAAACTGAGTAACCGTGACAACAAAGAAGAAGAAAACAAAACAATTGTGCCTATGCAAATTGCTTCCTGAACCATCAAGGTGTGAGAGACTTGGCTTCAGCAATAATGCCTAATGGCCAATGTCAAATGCAGATTGAGTTAAGGTCAGTGGTATCTGTTGAGGTAGCTGTAGTCAGGGAAAAAGCTGGGCCTTCATGAGTCACTGGCCCCTGCTCATGTTCACAATGGTGGGGTGTGTGTGTGTGTGTGTGTGTGTGTGTGTGTATTTTAGTGTTTATTGAGCACCTACTAACCAATGACTTTCAGATAAAATACATTCTATTTTACTGAATTAGTTTCAGTCCAGGCCTTCCTGGACTTTTGCTCTAAAAGTACTTTAGACATAATTCCACTGAAGCCCTTGACTCATCAAATTTCAGTTGGCATGATGTACAGCAGTGTCTGTCTGATTGTAATATGCACATGATTCACCTGGGGAACCTCATTAAAATGCAAATTCTAATTCAGCAGGTCTAGGGTGGGCCCAAGATTCTGCATTTCTAACAAGCTCCTTGATATGGTTTGGATCTATGTCTCTGCACAAATCTCATGATGAAATGTAATCTTCAATGCTGGAGGTGGGGCCTGGTGGGAAATGATTGGATCATGGGGGTGCTTTCTAATGGTTTAGCACCATTCCCTTGGTGCTGTTCTAGTGATGGAGTTCTCACAAGATCTAGTTGTTTTAAAAGTGTATAGCACCTCCCCTCACTCTCTCTTCCTCCTGCTAGGGCCATGTAAGATTCCCTGCTTCTCTATCGCTTTTTTGCCATGATTGTAAGCTTCCTGAGGCCTCCCCAGAAGCTGAGCAGATGCCAGCATCATGCTTCCTGTAGAACTGGTGAAACCATGAGCCAGTTAAACTTCTTTTCTTTATAAATTACCCAGTCTCAGGTATTACTTTATAGCAATGTAACAACAGACTAATACACTCCTCCAAGGACCACACCGTTAGAAAGCAAGGGTGTGAGTTTAAAAGTATGGATTCTGCATCTAGATCACCTGTTCCTGGACAAAACTGAGGGTCAGACTCTTACTTCTCATGACCCAATAATGAGATGCAGATGAACTGGGGAGGAAGAGAGTCTTTACTTCTGCAAGGAGAAGGCCTGGAAACAATCGCCAGATGAACTCAAAATTACAAAGTTTTCCAGAGCTTATATACCTTCTAAGCTATATGTCTATGTGTAAGTGTGCATTCATCTAAAGTCATAGTGGTTAACTTCCTTTGATCCATACCCAAGGTCTGAGTCCTGAAGACCTTCCTCTGGAGCCTCAGTAATTTACTTAATCTAAATGGATCCAGGTGCTGGGGTGATTACCCTTATCTTGTCTCAGGCTAAATTACATAGGTTTGAGGAGTTCCTTCAGACCCCCAATAAACTTGTTTGTGGAGGCCTGGGGAGTTTCTTCAGACCCACAACAAAACTCGTTTAATCCTAAATAGGTCCTGTTAAGAATTCCTTCATTTTTTGGTCATGCTTTAAGGCCCAGGAAAGTCCTAGGCAAAATTCTTGGTGGGCTTTTGTTACATCCCAGCCTTTGTATATGGGCACTGGCTTTTAATATTTAACTTAACTACTCAGTCAGTACTGAAACAGTTGTTATGGAGGCCTGTATTAGTGAGATCTGGCTTGCCACACACCTGGGTTCAAATCCTGGCTCTGTATATTAGCTAGATGACATTTAACAAGATACCTGGCCTTTCTGCACTTCCTTATTCCTAAAATGGGGATAATAAAAATAGTAAAGAATAATGTCTACTTCTAATGGTTCTTGGGTGGCCTAAATGAGTTTATATCTTTAAAATGTTGAAGCCGTGTCTGGCATGTTGTAAGTACTCAATAAATATTAATTCTTATACTCTTATGTTTTACCCACTAATTAAACATTTCCTATGTGCTAAAAGCTACGTACTATGTGCTTCACCTTGATCATAGATTTTATTTCTCACAACCCTGTGAAGAAATTGGTCCCACTTTACAAAGAAAAAAGCAAAGGTATAGTGAAGCCATGAAGTTAGTGAAAGTAGCTATCTGCTGCCAGAGTCCACGACATCCGTGCATGAGTGTCCTGAGGGAAGAAATGATAGCTATTTATGACTATAGCTATTTATGACTTTATGCTAGCTAGTTTTCTGCTAGCTCCCTGGGGAACTAGCACAAAGCTGGTAACTAGTAGGTACTCAAAAAATAGTCGTTAAATGAATGACCTAGTGTAATGGGCATTTTGGCCTTGAATTTAGAGATTTAGAGACGAGTGAACTGAAGCTCAGAAGAATTTGAAAACTTGCCCAATACACCACAAATGAGTGAGTTGAAATAGGAACCCTGACCCCTTATATATAAAGGCTATTTCCTTCCTTCCTTCCTTTCTTCCTTCCTTCCTTCCTTCCTTTCTTTTTCTTTCTTTTTCTTTCTTTGAGATAGGGTCACACTCCGTTGCCAAAGCTGAAGTGTAATGGCAAAATCACAGATCGCTACAGCTTCAGCCTCAACCTCCTGGGCTCAGGTGATTTTCCCACCTCAGCACCCCCGCCCCCAACACCTGAGTAGCTGGGACTATAGGCACCTGCCACCATGCCTGGCTAATTTTTTTTTTAGTATATATATATATATATATATATATATAATATATATGTATACACAAAATATATTTTGTATATATATACAAAATATATATGAAATACATTCATATATATATAAAATACATACAAAATATATTTTTGTATGTATATACAAAAAGATTTTTTGCATATATATACAAATATATATATACTTTTTAATACAAAAAATTTTTCATATATATATATATATATACTTTTTTTTTGTAGAGACAGTTTCGCCTATAAAGCTATTTCCATCAAGAAATAATCTTGACTTTGTAATGACCTGATGGATTCTTCCTGCCTGCTGCACAGACAAAATCAATTCACTGAGACCATGGCATTTCAGTAAAGAAAGTTTAATTGATGCAAACCTGGCCATGCCACATGGGAGACATAGTTATTACTCACATCAGTCTCCCCAGAATATCTGGAGGCTAGAGATTTTCAGATAATTTTGTGATGGGGGCCAGGCAACGGGTGCTGCTCCTTGGTTGGGGATGCAATCATAGCAATGTGGAAAAATGGTCTTTGTGCACTGAGTCTGCTTCTGGGTGGGGGCCACAGGACTGGGTGAGTCACTGGTCTGGGTGGTGCCATCAGGTCATCAGAAATGCAAAAGCCTGAAAAGACACCTCAGAAGAACAATCTTAGGTTCTACAATAGTGATGTTAATTACAGGAGTAATTGGGGAAGTTGCAGATCTTGTGACCTCCAGCAGAATTCAGGCCACTCTCATCCTCCTAACTTGGTGGACTTGCATTAATTTTATAAGGGCGATTTAGTTTTGGGAATGGCTATCATCATTTAAACTATAAATTTCTCCCAAAGTTAGCTTTGCCCACACCCAGGAATGACCAAGGTTTGAAGATTAAAGGAAAGATGGAGTTGATTAGATCAGATCTCTTTTACTGCCACAATTTTCTCACTGTTATAATTTTTGCAAAGGCAGTTTCAACTTTATCCTCTGATAGAGATGGCAGTGTGGCAAAATGACTAACTGGTGAGCAAGCATTTGAAAACGACCAAACTGTAGAGGGCTGCTTAAGTTTTGAGGATAATTGACCAACAGAAGGTAAAATTAATGCATTTGTTCACATGCAACTTAATAGACAGAGTTTTCCTTTCAGCTGGAGCCTCTAAAGAGTAGCAGAATCATTTCCCCATGCTTCCTTGCACTTTCAGTTTATGGCTAATGGAACTTCTTCAATGATCTTATACAGCCTTTAGCAGTTATCATAGTTTGGGTTCCCTGAAGAATTCAAAGCAAGCACATAGTTTATTTGGAAGGTGTTGAGAACACATGTAGGAAAGTGGGAAGGTGATTCAGAGAAGGCAAGGCATCTGATAAGGGGTAAATTATCAAGCCTTCTGCTCACAATAGGTAATTGAAATTAATCGCATGGGGAAGCTCTGGAAATGGTGAAAAACACAGGTCTCAAATTTATCCCACATGAAAAGAAAGGGAACTGAGGTGTTACACACTAACAGCAAAGTCATTGAGGGCTGCTCCCAGCAGTGTTAATTCCTTAGTGCTTCAGACTTGCCGCATAGAGGTACAGAGTGGCTTCTGCTGTTCCAGAAAAAGCCATCAAGCACAGAGATGTAGATGCTGCCACTTGGAAGTCAGTGGGAGCACTCTGAAATGCTATGAGTTCACGGGATATGGACAGGGAACCAGCAGAGTCTGCTAAAAAGGAGCTCTCTTTGCTGCTTCCCACTACAGCAGCTCACCAAGAGGGCAATTATATGGAGAAAAAAATTACCTACTTGTCCAACTGGGTTTGTTTGAGGAAGGTTATGCAAGTTGCACAGTCATTTCCAAAAAGAAGTATGCAGGAGACATTGGACCACAGCTATTGGTTAGAGTGTTGATAAGTGGCCCATGTCTGTACCTCTTAACCCTGAATTCATTTAAATGGATTTCCGAATTTGGTTGCGTGCAAAGGACTAAGAGAATCTGTACTTGAGGGGATGAGGAAGTGGTAAGAGGAGAAGGCTCAGAGGAAGCATCCTGTATGCATTGCTAGATTTGTTCTTAATCTTAGAGGGAAAGAATACATATATTTTCTGAAATATCAGTGTGCTTTCCAGAATCAGTGAGGTCATGGAAACTATAATCTTTGCCATGTGCTCTCGCAGACACAATTATGCTAATGAAACCAGGAATGGGGGGGTGCTCTGGTGAACATGGTGAAATCAGACTTGAATCTGGGAGCTGGAGGCAGATTCAAAAGCATGTGGCAGCGTAGGCAGTTCTTTTTGTGTTCAAGGCTGAGGTCTGAGGTTGATGGGCTCCTGATCTTCCTTTCATTTTTCTGACACTTGGGCCCACATCCCAGAGTGTGTAGTGGAGGACAGCAAGATATGCCATCAATGTTAATCTGATCCTTCATCAGCAAATACTGGAGGGAAATCATTTTAAGCAGGTTTTAAAACTAGATTTGGGGCATAGAGAGTCAGGTGTTGTTGCTATTTTTACTCAGTTTCTTAAACAAAGGGGCTCTGATGCTATTGTGGAATTACAGCAATGTGGACCTCAAGAAGTCACAACAGATACCCATTAGCATTCAGAGCTCTACCTCTAGAGACTGAGTTAAAATACTGAATATGCTTTTAAACCATCATACTACCTTTATTCCAAAGACATCTAAAAGAGCCTAAGGAAGGTAGATTTAATTGGTATGTCCATGCAGTCTTTAGTGTCTGTCTCCTTCTCCTTTCTGCCATCCTTTGCTCTCTATATAGAAAATGTCTTTAAAATACACAGAGTGGGTCTGTATATTTGCATAACAGCAGTTCTCTATACAAAAATAAATTCTGAATAGATTGCTCCATTGTATATACATGTGGGCACGCATGTCACATACACTGATTTATTTTTCTAAGAACAAATGTCTTAATGTTTCTCTTCCTTGAGAAAAATCACCAACTGCTAGAATCTCAAATTCCATGTAGAACTTTGCAATAACAGAAAATATACATGTAGAAAGCCACAGAGAAATGAAATATAGTGAGGAGTTAGATTTTTGTTTCAAATAGCCCTGAATTTCCAAAGACTTCGCAACTCAAATAGAAGGCTATTCATGGAATGGCTTTGTCCTCTACTCTTTAGGACACTCTTTAGGACACTGATCAGTGTAAGTAATCCAATCAAGTTTCATTATTTCCCTTGAGGAAAGAAGGAGCTATGGCCACAGGATATCTACAGAACTGAGGGGAAAAAATAGCTTTGGAAACAGACAGTTCTGAGTTCAAATCCAATCCCTGCCACTTACTTTGGCACGTTTCTAAACCTCTTGGAATCTGCTTCCTCCTCTAGAAAATGGGGCTATTCATACCTTCATCAAAGGGTTATTGTCAAGATGAGATACACTGTATGTGAAAGCACCTGGCACAAAGTAGGTATCAAGAACTGCAAAGGGTCTAAGATTTGAGGCTACCTGCAAACTAACAAGGTAGCCTGTCATAGTTTTATGGATGCTGGCAGAAGACATGAGACTCCTGGGTCAGAAATGAAGGACAGTTTATTACTCACAGAAATAATCATAGATTATCAGCAGTTTTTGCATCAGTTTTCCAAGCTCCAATTCCCACAGGATGATCCATAGGGGGCCAAGTGATACCTGCATATGCAAGTGGGTTCTATTACAGGAGAGAAACCCTGAGCTTAAAAAACCTGAAACTTTTACAATAGACAATACACATGTTTTCCTTTTGCTCCAGAAGGAGGCATTGCTTTTACTATACTAGACAGTAAGGGTGTTGGCCCTTTGCTCTGAAGGGACGCACTATGTCTGTCTTCCAAGGCATCCTTGAAAAGGTAGTCCAGAATCAAGAGCAGTCAGTGACTCTGCTTGCAAGATGCACAGAAGTATAAGAGACTCATGAGGAATAATCTTCCAATAGTAGATTCTCAATAAATGGTGGTTGGCCAGGGAAGTGGGGAAAGGATGACAAAAAAATGATAACTATTTCCCTGGGTTCTGTATTGGAGCTTGGAAAACTGATGCAAAAACTGCTGATAATCTATGATCCCATTTTTGCAAGGCCTCAAGGAATATAACTACATAAATCCGCCTTATAAATGAGATTCAGTGTGATGCTATGAAGAGAAAAAAAGTTTTGTAGTCATAAAGACATGGGTTCAGATACTAGCTTAGCCATTCACCAGCTGGAGAATCTTAGTTGTTTCTTAACTTCTGTGATCCTCTGTTTCCATATCTGTAAAAAGGGGTGATCACCATACAAGGTACTAAGTGCTGTATTAGACACTAACATATATAAATGTGTGTGGCATATAGAAAGAACCCAGTAAGTGGTAACTATTGCATTCTATAAGAAACAGGCATTTATTGAACATCTACTATCTGTCCTTCATTTTTTTCATTTGATAAATGATTATAGTGCATTTACTTTTTACCAGGCACCGTGCTAGGCAGTGAGAATACTAAGATAAGCCTAGAATGGTCATTCCCTTTGAGGATAGCACAGTCCAGGGATGGAAACAGCTAAATTATACTAATAGAAGGCAAGTACCAAAGCAGAGATTGCAACCAAGTGCTCTGAGAACTCAGAGACCATTTTAAGAAAATTCCAGAGGAGACTGAGAAGGCTTCACCCAAAAGGTGAAATTTTAATTTTGTTCCGACCACTCCAACTTTAGCTCCAACACTTAAGTAAAATCCTGAGATGATTTAATGCTCTCATATCCCCTGAAATCCAGAGCAACCCCTCCCATCTCTCAGCTTTTGTGAAAGAAGAAGGAAAGAGAACGGAAATGAGAAGCAAAGGAAGGGAAGGAAAGGAAATGTAGAGAGAGAAGGACACACCGTTTTGAACTCTTAGCAAGTGATGAGAGTGTCAGGGGACCAATAAATAATGTACTCTTTCCTCTCTGAGTTCCAAACCAAATGGGAAATAAGACAAAAGAGTCAGCATATGGAGGCCAAAATATCATATGTATTACTGATAAGGCCAATGTTAGATATTATTCAGGCATCCAGGTTCCTTCCATTTTGTGGATCTGCCATTCCCTTAGGGTTTTGTTCTTATCTATATGATGAAAGGAAGAGAGAAAAGTTCCAGAGCTAGAAACACTCTCTTTAAAGAGATGACCTGGAAGTTGCACATATCACTTCAGCTCATGTCCCACTGAGCCAAACTTAATGACATAAGCCTATCCAGCTGCAAGGGGGATTGGGCAGGCATGTTTCTGCTAAAATTCAGGGGATCCTGTTACTGAAAGGAAGAAGTGAGAATGAACATGTAAAACTGTTAGCAGTCCTCACAACAGGTTCCAACAGGAAGTAGAGAAAAGAAAGTGAATTTGGAAGGAAGCTTTGGATATATTGTTAAGAAAGTAATTGATAATTAAAGATTCGGGGGAAAGTCAGGGCTGGGACAAAGAGTTGAAAGTCATCCTCACAATAGGGAGATTACTCTGAAGCCATGAGGACAACTCAGAGACCCCCCCAGAATATTTACAAGGGAAACATCTTTGAGGACATCTTCCTTAAAGTATTGAGAATAGAAAGTAGAGTCAGAAAAAGAACAGAGCAATAGGAGAAGAATTTACGGGTTTTACATATTGTGGCCAAGGGAGAGTTTCAAGAAGAAAGGCATAGTCAACATTGATGAACACTTCAGAGAGAATAAAGATTATGTGAATTAAGAAATGGCTATGAGGCTTAAATTTAAGATGACACTGGTAAATTGTAAGAGAACAGGGTCAATAGATTTAAAAGGGAAGATGTGCCATGTTTCAAACGAGTAAGGAAAGGGTGAGTAGTGAAGATGTAATGGAAGCAAGTATAGACACGTTAAAAAATAATTAAATGATAAGTGGAAAACAAGGGGCAAGACATTACCTCGGGAGGCAGCAGGTTCCCAGGAAGGGCTTTAGAGGATGGGGAAGATGTGAAAAGACTTGTGATCTGAGGGTAAAGATTCAGTGGCAAGAGTGAGGAAGACAAAGGAAGACAAAATTTCCAGGCAGGTTGGAGTAACAAGTGGTGGATCACGGGAGTGTATAGGAGGAGAGTGGACCCTGGACTGGAGAGACAGAGGAACACTTTTTTTTTTTTTTTTTTTGGAAAGGATGGAAATGGTAAGAAGGTAGAATAAGACTCCATAAAATGAGGGGCTGGAGAGAAAATAGGTAGAAGTGTATCTAATGGTTGCTAATCTTCTACTGAGACAGGAAATAGACCTGTAGGCAGATAATATTTTCCAAAAATTGCCTTAACAATAAAAAATTAAATTAATAAAATTAAAAAGCAGTTCTACATGCTTTTCCAGAAACTTGCTACTTTCCATCAAGAAGTAAAGTCTCTTTTCCCTTCTGTTGAAACTGAGTGGGCCTTCATGACTGCCTCAACAACTAGAATTCAGCAGAAGTAATGTGTGACTTTCAAAACTAGATTAGAAAAGCTACTCTATTTTCTACCTGGCATTCTCCTTCTTGGGATGCTCACCTTTGAAATAGAACCACCATATTGTAAGGAAGCCCAGGCTACATAGAGACATCATGTGTAAGTATTCTAGCCAATCACCCCAGCTAACATTACATATTAGTGAACAAGTCCTCAGACGATTCTAGCCTGCAGCTGTCAAGTCACCAGTAGCCTCTGTCTCCCAAGTGGGGCCCCATTGTGTAACAAAGATAAACCATTTCTGCTGTGCCCTATCCAAATTCCTGACCTCAGAATCCATGAATATAATAAGTGGTTGTTTTATGTCGCTGGGTTTGTGAGTAATTTCTTTTTTCCTTTTCTTTTTTTTTTTTTTTTTTGTTGGGGGAGCAAAGTCTTGCTCTATCACCCAGGTAGGAGTGCAGTGATGCAATCTTAGCTCACTGCAACCTGCAACCTCTGCCTCCCAGGCTCAAGCTATCCTCCCACCTCAGCCTCTCAAGTAACTGGGACTACAGGCATGTGCCACCATGCCTGGCCAATTTTTGTATTTTTTGTAGAGATGGGGTTTCACCATGTTGCCCAAGCTGGTCTTGAACTTCTGTACTAAAGCGATCCACCCACCTTGGCCTCCCAAAGTGCTGGGATTACAGGCATGAGCCACCGTACCCAGTGGAAGTAATTTCTCATACAGCAATAGATGACCACAGCAACCAAGATGGGAAATGAGAAGGCTTTCTTAAATACAGCTGTGGGGAATTGACGTTGTGTCTTTTAGAGAGAAATTAAAAGCTTTCAGTGGAATGGAACCTATCTGAGGAGTGTATAGAACAGATTTGTAGGGGAAAAGGACCCAGAGTATCAACATTATTGAGCTAAGTAAAGAACCTGGAAAAGTGGACAATCCTATCAGGCCCAAGGAGGGAAGGAAGACCATGCTTCCTTAACATTTTGAATTCATTATCCCAGCAGCATCTCTGACCATCATCCCAAACATTCTCCTACTGCCAATCTTCTAATTTCCTGTCTTAGAAAGGTTGGCAGCACTAACTAGCCACCCAAGCTGGATTGAACCCCTTTTCTTCACTCCCATGTGCTATTGCTTTAGTTAAGGCCTTAAGCATCTTCTGCTTGCACTATGGTTCATGAGATGTTTTACAAAAATGGTCACAATTATTCCCCTTTTTGCATCCACAGTTTCTGCAATGTGACTTTGCAGTTTCTCCCATTAAGAGAGGAAATCTATTATGCTTCCCTTTAATCTGAGCTAGTTTTGTGATACGTGTTGGCCAAAAGAATAAAGCAGAAGTGATGTTGTGCCAGTTCTGGACCTAGACCTTAAGAGGTCTTGTGCATTTCTAGTCACTCTCTTGAAACTCAACCCTGTGAACAAGCCTAGGCTAGTCTGCTGAAGGATGAAAGACCACATGGATCAGAAACAAGCCATCACATCTGACACCATCATAGGCCAGACAGCTCCCAATCAATACAGCCACTGATTGCAGATGCATGAGTGGGCCCAGCTGAGACCAGAAGAATCATACAGCTGAGCCAAACCAGATTGCCAACAAGCAGAATTGTGAGCTAAACGGTTTTTGCTTTAACCACTAAGTTTTGAGGTAGTTTGTCATGCAGCAAAAGCTAACTGATACATAAGACAATGTCTTCCTAAATAATCTCCCTGATTCCAAGCCCACTAACCTCCCCCACCAACCACCACCAATACAGCATCCTTTCTGCTAGATTCATCAAAAACTCAAGTCTGAATTTTTTACTTCCCTACTTAAAATCTACCAGTAACTTCCCATTAACCACAGTATAAACTCAACCTTCAAAGACTTAGAAATAATTTAGAGCTCTTTAAAATTTAGTCCCAAACTCATTTCCCAGAATTCCTCATCTCTTAGCCCTCTTCATCTGTCAACTTACCATCTAGCCATGTTCTACTATTCTATGTTCTATGAAAACACCCCATGCTTGAATTTATCCAAACTTTTGCTCTTACTGTTCTCTCTACTAAAGATAGCCCTTCCACCCTCTTCTCCATCTTCTCCACCTTCATGTCCCCTAGAGCCTAGCACAGTTCCTGGCATATAATAAGTGCTTAGTATATGTTGAAATGAATGACCAATTACATTTCATGATCATGCTCTGATACAATTATAGTTATAGATCCAATTATGTTACTTAAGAAGTGCTTACTGTGTGGCCAAGTACTGTGCAAATGCCACAGCAACCCTACTGGGCAGATATTACCACTATCATCACCATCATCATTGTCCTCATTTTGCAGATGAAGACACTTAGGTTTGGAGAAATCGGGTAACTTACCAAGAGTTACTCTGCTAAAATAAATGATGGCATCCCAGTACTGAAAAGTCGGGGGAATCTGATACTACCGTCTACTGTCAGCAGTATCAGCCCCAGCTATTCCAATCTATGCACCTGTCCCTGTTTTCTTAACTTGCCTTTCCTGACCGTTTCAATTTTGAACTTCTAATTAAATATTTCAAACTGCTTGTCACTAGTTTGTCCTACTCATCTTCTGTCTTTTAATGAGTGTCTTCCAAAGGGAGATTGAAAACAAATCTAAATGTATATTAAGGACCAGAATTTTAGGCATTGAGGTAGAGAAGAATCTCTCTTGGAATCTAAAATCTTTATCTGGAATAGATTCTTCTCTTAAAATCAGCAAATTGTTTTTGTACAGCCCTCTAGCTAAGAATAATTTTTATATTTCTAAGATTGTAAAAAAAAAAAACACAAAAAAGAATATGCAACAGAGACTCATATGTGGCCCACAAAACCTAAAATATTTACTATCTGGCTCATTATAGAAAAAGTTTGCTAACCTCTATCTTGGGTCATTCTTCCACTCGTGTTCTTCCCTGATAGTCTACATTGCCCCAGAAGCAGACTGGGGAAAGGATTCTAGTGCAAATTATTTATCGAGGTAGTTATCCTGGAAAACACCAAAAATGAAGTGAAAAAATTGAGACAGAGAAGGGATAGGAAGTGTGCATTGTCAAACGAGTCATCCCTGTGGGCAATTAGAGTTTAAACCCACTGGGGACTGTGAAAGACAGTGTAGATCACATACCTCAGAGCCCAGGGATGTGTGAGCCAGGGCATTTATCCATCAACTCCCATTAGTCGTTAGCTATGGGCTATTCCCTGGGAAGTGTTAATTCCCCAGCACTGCCGGCCTTCCCAGGGCAAACTTGTTCCAATTGCCAGATAAACCTCTCAGGCAAGTGGTTTCAGGTGCTGGCAGTTGGCTGTCAGGCAAATATACACAGAAATGGTAAATGCTAAGGGGGTACAGGTGGGGCAGTGATAGCATTTGCTACATCCCTTTCCTCTATTCCTCTTTGAAAAAAACTATTTAAAAAAATGTATGTCAGTGTCAAAATTTAAAACTCACATACTGGAGTGTACAGAAATATAACTTTATGTCTTGCTCCTGAGCTCCCATCCCTATTGATGGCGCTAACTATAGACATCTCAGTTTCTTAGCTTTAATTGCATCTTTCAGGTGTACTGTTTTTCTGACTTTTCCCTATCAAAAATTCTTCCCCCTCTTTTTCCCAATATGGTTACTAGATGCATTTTAAAAACCTTTTTTTTTGAGACAGCATCTCACTCTGTCACCCAGGTTGCAGTACGGTGGTGTGATCATGGCTCACTGCAGTCAGCCTCCCAGGGTCAAGTGATCTCCTGCCTCAGCCTCCTGAATAGCTGAGACTATGGGTACATGCCACCATGCCTAACAATTTTTTTTGTATTTTTAGTAGAGATGGGGTTTTGCCATGTTGCCCAGTGTCAGATCTAGGGGTCCGGGTCCAGCCCATGCTGAAGCCTGAGGGAGTGGATAGATGGGCAGAAAGAATGCTTGGGGGGATGTAGGCAGGTGAAATGTAGTTTTATTCAGCAGCAGCTCTCATCAACAGCTTACTCACACCAGCTCTCTCAAACTGTCCACCTTTATCTCAGCTGTCTGAGCCACTACTGTCTGGCTCTATGGCTCCTGCTGCCCCCACACCTGCAGCTGCATGGTGGGGTCTCCCTTGTCTTCAGGGTTAGTAGCTTAACTCTTTCTGCCTCTGGGCATGAGCAAGCTGAGCTGTGTCCTCCTCCCTCCTGTCCATCTGTAAGACAGACAGCTTTGGCTCTCTCTCTCTCTCTTTCTCTGGGACCAGCATGCCCACCATGTCAAGCCGTGTTGAGCCAGGCCGAGCCCCAAGAGCCTCTGTACAGCATTAGCAGGGCAATTATACCTTTTACAGACAATAGTAGCTCAGAGCCAAGTATGAACTCACACAAACAAGTTATATAGAAGTGGAGGTAAGCACCTGTGCACAAAACTCAGAGTCATGCAGGCCTGGATATTTGCCTCAGCCTGTTCCTCAACCAAAGCACATCTTTGTACCTTACACCCAGACTGGTCTCGAACTCCTGGGCTCAAGTGATCTGCCTGCCTCAGCCTCCCACAGCGCTAGGATTACAGACATGAGTCACCATACCCAGCCAACTAGGTGCATTTTTATGATTGGAGAAAAGATGGTCTGGTCCTCCTGCTATCCTCTGGGAGTAGCCTGGACTACCTACTCGCTTGGCATCCTGCCCTGGTCTTCACTGAGTTGTGGCTGGTTTTTGGACATTGTGCTCATAGACCTTGCCATTGCCTCCATTGTGAGGTCCCCAAATTCTGCAGCTTCCTTGTCCTCAGACTTTCTTGAACACGTTCGCCCTCTCAATGTTTCTGTGCCAAAGTTAGGGGTCCTGGAACTCTACTGCCTCTGGAGTATGCGAGACTGTGAGACTGCGGAAGTACCTCTCTCCACTGCTGTTACTTGACTTCTCCTTCGTCAAGGAGGAGGCACAATGTTGTGCAGGTTTCTGTGAAATGCTTGTATTAATCCAGGATATGCCTGGTAAGGTGGTCACTTAAACCAATGCTTTCAGATTCTTCCAAGCCTATTTGGGTGTTCCTATCACTCCTTACTTCTGCCCCCAAAGAGGGTTATTTGGAGGATGGAAAGAACGGGAATGTAGGGGGACACTTGCATCTTCTTCCTTCCTCTGTGCCCAGTGTCACCTCCCAGAACTGGAAGGCTGTTCCTTCTCCAGTGTCTACGAGTGTCCCTGGCTTCCACTGTGTCCCTGTTTTTCCTACTTTATGGCTTTTCTATGGCCAACTCTTGTTTTTAGTCCATTTGGGCCACTATAAGAAAATACCATAGACCAAGTAGCTTATAAACAACAAACATTTATGTCTCACATTTCTGGAGGCTTAAAAAGTCCAAGACCAAAACACAAGCAGATTTTGTGTCTGATGAAGGTCCACTTCCTGGTTGAAAGATGGCACTTTCTTGCTATGTCCTCACATGATGAAAGGAGCATGGCAGCTCTCTGGGGCCTCTTTTAAAAGAACACTAATCCCATTCATGAGGGCTCTGCCCTCATCGTCTAATCATTTCCAAAGGCCCCACTTCTTAATGCCATCATATTAGGGATTAGGTTTCAACATAATGAATTTTGGGGAGATGCAAACATTCAGACCATAGTAACCATCTAAGCTTTGGTTTCTATTATACAGGGGCCCAACTTTGGGAGTCCTATGAAAACTCCTTTATTTCTGCTTTTTAGTCTGACTTTCAAGACTATTGCTCCAGTAAGGGATTTTAAAAATCTAGTGGAAATTGAAAACTTATCAATGACTGTTTTGTTCTATGTCGTATCTACCTCCTCCTCCCAGGACAGTAGGCCTTCATCTTATGGCGTAATCTTAATGGCAGAAGAACAGCAGGTGCTTCTTCTTTTCTTCTTCTTCCTCCTCTTCCTCTTCCTCCTCCTCCTCTGCCTCCTCCTCCTTTGATAACTACCCACCAAAGAGGGAAAACACATTTGGATAATATTTTAAAACATTATCCTTACATCTAAAAGAATAAAATCATGGGAAGTAGTGGAGTGTTGGCATCTATTTTTTCATTATTTCTACTTCAAGAAAATGAAAATTGGTTTGCCAACAATGAAAATATTGAGTTATTTTTATTGCATTTCACATAAACCTTAATTCAAGTTAATTATTGTTATCCAGAGAGGAATTTTGAAGCCAGAGGGCAAAATCTTTAAATATTTACCTCAAACATACCAGGTAAAACAATTTAAAGTACCTTCCCAGAACAGAATAAGAACACTCCTTATTTAGAAGACAAAATTCTCATCTTCAATTATCAGCTGATAGATCTAGAAGACCCACCAGACGTCAAACTTCTGTTAATGACAATTTCATTTTCCACGTGTACAGATCCTTACAATTTTAGGCTCAATTTTTTAAAACTTGGAATGTATATTTGGGAAAGGATGAGTTTTGTGTGTGAATAAGGTTACAGTGGTCAGGGAGTTCTGTTGAGCTATTTGAACAGGGCCAAAAATGATTTTTATCCCTAACTGCCAAGGTGCTAAACATTTTATCATTAGACTGTTATTCCTGTAACTTAGGAATTATCCTAATCAGCAGTCCTGTTTTAAAATCCTTTCATGAGCCTCATCAAATATGTAATGCACACTATCTATAAGTCATTATTCTAGGGCTCAATGATGAGTTGGACATGAAAGGTGGGCAGAGACAAGGGAGAAGCAACAAATAAATAAATGAATTAAGTCAACAACACCTTTGTGTGGCTTCTTTTTTCCAGAGGTTCTTTCTTCCTTTGGGAATTAGGCTTAATGAAAACTTTGGGTATCTGAAGAGAGAGCAGGAAGAAGGAGGATAAATAGAAGCTACCAGAAACTATCCAATTTCCTTAATTTAACTTGCAATTTCTCCCTCCTTCACACCCACATTTTAATATTTCTCAAGTCAGGATTTTTCCTGCAATCTAAAAACAGATTTAATAAGGCAGTGTATTCTTTGTTTAAAATTATTAAATTCAGCTTTTTATTAAATAGTGCTTCTTATAAGCCATGGCATGTTACACTTAAAGAGATCAGTAACATTTTAATTGAATATTTTATTGAAGTAATTGTCAATTTAGATGAAGTCCTAAGATATAATAGAGGGAGAGCCCACATGCCCTTTAACCAGTTTCCCCTAATGGTACCATTTTGCAAAACTGCAGTTCAGTATTTCATTCAGAATATTAAGAATCTGTTGAATTTACTTGGATTTCCCCAGTTTTGCTTGTACTCATGCGTGTGTTTAGTTCTATCAATTTGAGCACATGTGTAGTTTTGTGTATCTACCATGACACTCAAGGTACTGAAGTTTCATCACCACAAAGTCCTTTCATAATCCTTTTTTAATCTTACCCACCTTCCTCCCAGCCATCTTCCTATCTTTAAACACTGACAACCACTAATCTGTTTTCCATTTCTAAAATTTTGTCATTATAAAAATATTATATAAACGGAATCATACAATATATCGCTTTTTAAGATTGAGTTTTTGCACTTGGCATAATTCTTTGCAGATTCATTTAAGTTATTCAGCAGTTCCTTTCTATTGTTGAGCAGTTTTTCATGGGATGTACATACCATGGTTTGTTTAAACATTCACCTGTAGAAGGACATCTGAGCTGTGTTTGGCTATTAGATCAGTAATATATATTGAGACCTATTAGATAAGTTACATACTTTCATATTTGTTGTTCCAACTAATCTTTAACCAAAAAATCCTTGAGATAAACTTTAGTATCTGTACTTACAAAGGAATAAATTGAGGCTCCACAATACCAATTAACATGCCACGGTCACACAATTGGCAAGTAGCAGGTTAGAATTCACACTTAGATATTCAATTCTCAAGCCAATGAGTGCTATTTGTCAGTTTATTTGATGATTTCTTCCTTGGGTTATCACAGGCATTGGGGCGAGGGCTGGCTAAAATGAACACAGAGAGCACTTAGGATTGTCTATGCATCCCCAGTTTTCCCTATTATTTTCCCACCATAAATCAGAATAAATCTGAGAAAATGTGCAATAAAATGACTGATAGCTCACCTGCTTGATGGATCTGTGTTTTAGGGATTCCTGTGCTTAGATGGTTATCGACAAACCAAATAAAAAGGTGAAAGTAAATTTTGGTTTCCCATATCTTGATAAATAATCGTTTCTTGCTCTGTTTCCTCACTTTCTCTTCTAATTGGCAAGTGTATCAGGGGAGTGGTAGTTAAACTGATACATTGTCATTCTGAAAACAAATGACTGGATTGCCACACCAGTTCATATAGTACCAGAAAAAGCTTCCAAGCAGCCCATCTGCTCAGGAGAGGGACACATTCTGCCTGTCATAACTCAAGCACAGTCTCCTGGAGAAATGAGTATGTCTGTCAATAATGAGCCAGCCCTCTGAGGGAACAGCCTTCAGGAAAATAGGCACATGGATGCTACCCCTTTTGGACTACAATGCTGGGACAATTCATAAGCCCTCCCTCCTAATGAAGGTGCTTCTCCCACCATCCCATCACCTGCCATTGCCACTTCCACTCCACATCCCGCAAACCAATCAGAAATTCTCCTCCTTGGGACAACAGCAAGGGCACATATGTACATTTCAAGGGGAAAATCAAAACCATGATAAGATATAACCACAAACCCACCACAATGGCTAAAACTAAAAACATTGGCAATACCAAGTGCTGGCAAGATGTAAAGCAACAAGAACTCTCATACATTGCTGGTGGGAACACAAAATGATACAATTGCTTTGGAAAACTGTTTGGTAATGTCTACTAAAGCTAAACATATGCATCCTCTGTAACCCCAAAATCCCACTCATATCTATAAACTCAAGAGAAATGCATGCATATGTCCACCAAAGGACATGCATAAAATGTTTATAGCAGCTTTGCTCATAATAGCCAAAAACTCAAACGTTCACAGTAGGTAAAGAATTATTGAATATTCATGCAATAGAAGACTACACAGATAAAATTCTAATATGTACAACATGGATGAATCTGACAGGTGTTACATTAAGCAGAAGAAGCCATACTCACAAAGAGTACACACTGTATAATACCATTTACATGAAGTTTGAGAACAGGCAAAATTAATCTATGGTGATAGAAAGCAGAAGAGTGGTTACCTCTGGGAAGGAGTGGGAGATAGTTACTGAGTGAAAGTGGCATGAGGAACAATCTGGGGTGCTGAAAGTGGTTCTATATCTTCATGTGGGTAGTGGTTATTTGGGTATATACAAAACCTTATCAAGTGAAACACTTAGGGTTTGTACACTTTATACCTTTTACTGCATAAACTAAATGTTAGACCAAAAATTTTAAGTTTCAAAAAATATGAAGGAGAATTGCTCCCCCATTCATCTCATGGGACACTGGAACAGGCCACTATTTTTTCCTGTCCTCCTCCTTCTCATCTGTGGATCTGTGGACACCAAGACATGTGCCAGGGCCAGTTGATTACTCCACCCAACAGATTATTGGGGGGAGGGAAATTGATACAATAGCAGGCATACTTAGGGGGAGACCAAATGAGAGACTGGCACTGCAGTCTGAGAGAGGATAAGCACTTCATGCTAACATGCCTCCAGAAACTTTTCCTGTCTTCCGTTAACAAAAAGGTGACTTATGTTGAGATGGAGATGAAATAATTATTTGAGCATGGATGATTTCCACTCCCTTGGAAACCTGAGTTCAGGAGACAGATAGAAAAACACACGTGTGCACGCACACAACACACACACCGGTGGTGGGGGGCAGAATCTATCTCTGACAGGCACTGACTCCAGAGTGATTTAAATACTCAAAATGAGAAAGAGAGATTTCATAAAAATTAGCAGGTGTACCAAACTCACATAATATATGGATTTGTTGTTTCTATTTGTCTGTTTTCTAATCTGCATGCAGTAAAATTTACTCTGTAGCATACAGTCCTATCAACTTGAACAAATGATACATTCCTGTAAGCACCACCATAATCAAGACACAGTTCTATCACACCAAAATTGTCCCTTGAGGTGCCCCCTTTGTAATCATCTCATTGTCCCACACTTAAACATTGCAACCACTGATGTGTTCTTCAGTGCTGATATGTTGTTTTGCCTTTTTCCACAATGTCGTGTAAATGGAATCAGACAGTATGTTGCCTCTGGGACCTGACTTTCTTCAATTAGCAGAAGACCTTTGAGAATAATCCATGTTGTTGCAGGTATCAATATTTCACTTTATTTTATTGCTGAGTATTCCCTGCCATATATGTTATTCCTTGTTTTGGGCAATTATGAATAAGGTTGTTATAAGATTCATGTACAGGCTTTTATATGAATATATGTTTTCATTGATCAGGCAAATACTTATAAGTGGGATTGCTGGCAAATGTAGGTTTAACTTTATAAGACACTAACAGTTTTCCAAAGGGCTTGTATCATTTTACATTCCCACTAGCAATGTATGAGAGCTCCAATTGTTGTATATCTTTGTCAACATTTGATATTGTTGCTTTTAAAAAATTGTAGTGATTATAATAAGTGTGAAGTGGTATTTCATTGTGGTTTTAACTTTTATTTCCCTTATGACTAATGATGGTGAGCATCTTTTCATATACTTATCTATCACTCATATATCTTCTTTGGTGACATGTTTGTTCAAATCATTTGCCTATTCCTATTGTGAATTTGGAGAGTTCTTTGTATATTTGGGATATCAGTTCTTTGTCAGAATTGTGATTTATAAATATTTTCTTTCAATCTGTGACTTGTCTTTTCATTCTCTTAACAATGTCTTTTGAAGAGCTCTTTTTTTTTTTTTTTTTTGAGACAGAGTTTCACTCTATTGCCAGGTGCCAGGTTAGAGTGCAGTGGCATGACCTCGGCTCACTGCAACCTCCACCCCCTGGGTTCAAGCAATTCTTCTGCCTCAGCCTCCCAAGTAGCTGGGACTACAGGTGCGCACCACCACGCCCAGCTAATATTTGTATTTTAGTAGAGACAGAGCTTCACCATGTTGGCCAGGATGGTCTCAATCTCTTGACCTTGTGATCCGCCTGCCTTGGCCTCCCAAAGTGCTGGGATTACAGGCGTGAGCCACCGTGCCCGGTCAGAGCAGACATTTTTAATTTTGATAAGGTATAATTCATTATCAACTTTTTATTTTATGGATCATGTTTTTTGTGTCATGTCTAAGGACTCCTTGTTTATAAGGAGTCCTTATACCTATTTTTCACTTAAGAAGTTGTCCATCTCCCGTATTGCATACTGACAACTAAAACTGGGGACCAGCTAGACTACATCAGTCAGTATAGGTTAGCTTTTCTATAAAGCTTCTAGGAAAACAAAGACTTCCTCCTTTGTTTTCCTAGAAGCATTATAGCTTAACTTTTTTTATATATTTGTGTCTATGATCCATTTAAGATTAATTTTTGTACAAGTTGTGAAGTTGGGTCAAGATTCATCTTTTTGCATATGGATGTCGAATTCTTCCAGCACCATTTATTGAAACGATTATTCTTTCTCCACTGAATTGCCTTTGCAACTTTAATGAAAATCAATGGACTATATTTGAGTAGATTAGCTTCTGGACTTTCTGTTCTGTCTCATTGATCTATGTTTTTCATCTTTCACTAATATCACACTATTTTGATTAATGTGGCTTTATAGTAAGTGTTGAAATCAAATAGTGTTACTTCTCTGCTCTTTTTCAAAATTATTTTGGCTATTTTAGTCCATTTCCTTTTCCATGTAAATTTTAGAATCAGTTTATCAATATCTACCCCAAAAAAAATCCTGCTGAAATTTTGATTAGGATTGCATTGAATATATAGATCAATTTGTGGACAACTGACATCTAAACAATATTGAATTTTCTGATGGATGAACATGGTATATCTTTCCATTTGTTTAGACCTTCCTTGGTTTATTTCCTCAGTGTGTTGTAGCTTTTACCATAAAGATCCTGCACATCTTTTGTTATACTTACACTTAAATGTCTCACTTTTTGGAGGTGCTACTGTAAAAATTGTGAATTCCAATTGTTTATTGCTAGCATACAGAAATACAGTAAATTTTTGTGTATTTGCCTTGTGTCCTGTAACTTCCTAAACTGACTTATTATTTCTAGGAGCTTTCTTGTAGATTCTTTAGGATTTTCCACATAATGATGTCTTCTGTCTTCTGTAGGTAGAATGAACTCTACTTCTTCCTTTCCAATCTGGATAACTTTTACATATGCATGTTAGGGTCCACCTCTATCCCCTGGTTAAAATTATTCCCTTCCAAAAGCCAAACTGTGCAGTTCTTAAGAAGTTGTCCATCTCCCATACTGCATACTGACAACTAAAACTGGGGACCAACTAAACTACATCAGTCAATATAGGTTAGGTTTTGATGTAGCAACAAATAGCCCAAATATTTGAACAACAAATATCTCTTACAACAAGAAAAAGTTTATATCTTGCTCACAATACATGTCCACCATGGCTGGCCAGGACTCTTCCCTTCATGTTCTGTTAGGGACCCAGGCAGATGGACCAGCCACTCTCATAAATATTGTCTGTGGCTATGCCATAGCAAAGGAGGGGGCTAGGAAATGCAATTCTACTCTATGCCTGGAAGTGGAGAGCCAGAAATATTTTCGGAAGGGCACTAATGACTATTAAGGAATACATAGACATAGACACACACAGACATACACACACACCCCACAGAGACAGAGAGAGGAAAGTAAGACAAGTAAAAATCATTCTTTTTTCCCCCCATTTATTTATTTTATTGCATTTTAGGTTTTGGGGTACATGTGAAGAACATGCAAGACTGTTGCATAGGTACACACGTGGCAGTGTGATTTGCTGCCTTCCTCCCCATCACCTACATCCGGCATCTCTCCCCTTGCCATTCCTCCCCAGCTCCCCACCCCCCACCACCTCTCCCCCACTTCCCCCCAACTCACACAGGGAAGGGAGCACTGAAAATCATTCTAATGCAAGCTAGAAAGTGGCATGTACAGCTGGGAGCAGTGGCTCACGCCTGTAATCCCAGTACTTTGAGAGGCCAAGGAGGGTGGATTGCCTGAGCTCAGATGTTTGAAACTAGCCTGGGCAACATGGTGAAACCCCGCCTCTACTAAAAATACAAAATATTAGCTGGGACATGGTGGTGGGCACCTGTAATCCCAGCTACTTGGGAGGCTGAGGCAGGAGAATCACTTGAACCTGGGAGGCAGAGGTTACAGTGAGCCAAGATCACGCCACTGCACTCCAGCCTGGGCAACAGAGCAAGACTCTGTCCCCAACCCCACAAAAAAAAAAAAAAAAAAGAAAAGAAAGTGGCATGTGCCTTTAGAGAGATATAGAGAATGCACAACTGGAGTTTAAGGAAGGTTTCTCTTGTGTCAGATTAGGAAAGGTTTCAAGCAGCAGAAACCTTTGAAGTTAGGCCTTGAAAGATGGAATTGGATTTTCAGTATGTTTATATTTCATAACATAGTATAGTAGTTAAAAAGATATTCTGGAGTTATGTTGTCTGGGTTTTAATATCAGATCTTCCCAGTACTAGCTGTTTGACCTTGGCCTAGCCACTTAACTACTCTGTGCCTAAGTTTCCTCATGTATAAAATGAGGCTACTAATAGTACCTGCTTCACAGGTTGGTGAGACAATTAAATGAGTTAATATTTGTAAAACTTCAGAATAGTGCCTGGCACATAAGCGCTATGAATGGTACACACATACATCCCTGGTGTGTGTACCATTATAAATCCAAAAGCCCAAACAAACTCTTTGTTTGAGATCTTTAAACACAAAGACTGGATAATTAAAAAAAAAAAATCAGAAAATGAATTATCTGTGGTGAAATTTACCTCTAAATTTCAGTTCCAGTGAACAATGTCTGCAAACTGACACTCCTTTCAATCCTTTATAATTGGAAATTCAGATCAGATTTCTAGATTTCTTAGCTATAGGTCAGCATTTTCCTTTCCTCTGTCTAGAGCTAGCCAGGGCTGGATAAGATGGCTGAGGATTTTTCTCACTGACTTTGGAGACTTTGGACATGGTATTTAGGAAAGTCTGTTCATCAAACTATGTAAAACCAGACCTTCATTCATCATCTGGCTGGAGATGTCCTTGAGTACTAAAGAGGAGTAAAAACCCCACAGGATAGATAAGCATGTGAAAATAAGGGATTTGCTCAGAAACACTCTGTCCTCAAAAAGAATGGGACCAGCACCAGGAGGCCTTCTCATCTCTTGGAAGATGGGCAACCAAAGAAATATTTCTACTGTAAATGGGAAAATAGTAACCCTCCTAAGAGGACTAATGATGAAAATTTCCATTGGTCTAGCTTCTCTAAATGAATAAAACTCTTTAAAGTATATTCCTATGTTTGGTTCTCATGACAACCCTATAAGAACTGCAGGGGTGAGAATTAGTCTTCACTCTCATTTCACAGCTAAGAAAACAGGCTCAGAAAGGTGAAGTGACTAGCCCATGACATTGCAGCTGGGAAGTAACCAAGAAGAAACTTGAACTCAGCAACACTTATACTTCATTGTGGTTACTTCTGAGACCTGGTTTCCAAAAAAAGTGGAAGGCATACTGCTGGTGGGGTACAAAATGATATAATTTTATATTTTGTACATTTATTAGAAAAAATATAAAACCAGGACAAACTGGTGATGTGAAGCTTCCTTTTTTCAATAATTTCTATTTAAAACATTAGTCAATTTTGAGAAAATCTTAGGCAATTTTTGACACAGATGGTACATGGATGTGGCCAAAATTGTGAAGATGGTCCCCAAAGATCTGAAGCTGGAAGCCCTGCTATAAGGTAGTTGGAAAGAAAAGTGACTTGGGTATGGGTGCTGTAGGCCTGGCTTTGTCACTAAAGGACCATGTGACCTTGGACTAGCCACTGAGCTCTCTGAGCTTCCGTCTTATCCTATGTAATGACAGCATTAGTTGCAGTCATTTCTGGAGCCTGTCCAGTTGGAATCTTCCAAGATAGAAGCTGGGTGTTATGTCCAAGAAGAGTGTGAAGGGCTAGATATCTTTGGCCCCTTCTCCTGCAGTCAGCTTTAATTTGCCTGAAATAAAGCTGACAGGAGGCTGCTGGATTCCGGGCACATTCCTCTGAGTCAGCCACTCAAGATCTCTTTTCGCAGGAGCTTCTAAGGCAGGCCCATTCAGCAGCCTGGATTTGAAGGTCTCCTTCCTTCTTCTTGGCTGTGTGCCCTGGTCCCCACAGCCTGCTTAGAAGGGGAGACCATGACAGACAAAGAGGGAAGGAAGAGGTTTCTGCAGAGCTGTCCTCCCATAATGAAAGAGCAAAGGAGAAGACTTGTAAAGATTCCAGCAGGGAGGGGATTTACAGCAGCAAGAGGAATAAAATCCATGATAGGCCCTCTAAGAATGGGATCAGAGTCAGTGGGGAAGTTTTTTGGAAAAAGCCATGGTTCCCATTGTTTCAATTTTTTTTTATTTCAATAGCTTTTGAGGTATAACTGTTTTTTGATTACATGGATGAATTGTATAACTGTAAAGTCTGTGATTTTAGTGCACTTGTTACCTGAGTAGTGTACATTGTACCTAATATGTAGTTTTTAATCCCTCACCCTCCTCCTACCCTCCCCGCTTCTGAGTCTCCAATGTCCATTATACATGGTTCCCATTTTATTTTGTCTTAGGTACTCGTGGGTAGGTGGAACAATGGCAGCTCTCTACCACTGAATCTGGTCAGCACCCAGAACAAGAAGGTATAGGAGGGTTACCATTAGCTACTAAAACT